TTCAAGTAGTCCTAAACTGTGTCTCCTTGGAAGCTGCCAGGCACCTTCCATGAAGCCTTAAATATCTTTGCCTTTTGCTCTGCAGACATTTTAGCTCTGACTATAGAACCAATTAGTGCTGTGTAGAGGAGACGTTGAAATCAGGGGAGGTCTGGCTCAAGTGCTCATAAGTCAGTGTACCTCTTTGAGCATCAGGTTCCTCTTCCATAAATAGAAGAGGTATTTTCTTACATGGTCATTATGAGGATCAAATGCAGCAATAGGTAGAAAGTGCTTGGTGAACTGAATGATGCTGTAGAAACATGAAGGACATGTGCACCCTTGAGAATGAGGGTTATCAGAGGCTCTGGGCTTGGGCCTCCTTTTTGGAAGATCTGGGTTTTCTCAGATTCCTTTCCCCTGTGTTTGGGATGAGCCTTGTGTTCAGCCTAGACACACAGGTAAAGAAAGACAATGAAAGCACTTAGGTTCTGTTTGTGGCGCCTCTCAGCCAGTCCTGCATGGGAGCTGTCCCTGTCTCAGAGTCCTCAGGGACCTGGGTCTGTCCCTGGGACATTTGCTTAAGGGAATCTCCTTATCACACACTCTCACAGTACCCTCTCCTTCATCTTTAGGACTCGAGGGAATGACAGGTAAATGTATCAGCTCCTGCTTAGCATTTTATGGAGATTTTGTGCAGTTCTCCTTTTTAATTTTAATCAATATAGGCTTATGCTTCACTGTTCTGATTAAACTTAAGAGAGTGCCTTTGGAGCAGAGTTGGAAAAGAAACCCATTGGCCAGCACTTGGTTGCACCTCTTCTTCGTGTGCCCTTGATTTCCATATCTGTGTCCTGGGGGTCATGCTGTAGGTCCTCTTGCACCAACGAAGCATCTCTGAAGATGACAGATTTGCCTGTGTCCCCAGCTTGCTGCAGAGCCCGATCCTCTCCCAAATATATGGGGGCCAGTTTCTTTATTGATGCTACTCAGCTCTTACTAGTTCGTGGGACTTATGCAACTTAAGACATCAAGTTTGCAGCCTTATCCCTGCAGTTCCTCTGGGCAGACCCCAAATCATCCCCTTCCCCTCAGGAGGAGGTAAACTTGGCTCAGCAAGCCTGATGTTGGATATTTGCCTCTCATCTTCATAAGATGCTATTTTCTTCTCTTCTTTGCCTCCATGAAAGCTTAAAAATGAAACTGCACATACATATATGTATGCCACTTATTTATCAAATCTTGTTGCTAGGTAACTGGCAGCTCTCCATCCTTTTGACATTCTGCTAGTAACTCTGTCATATTTCAGAAGATATAAAATGGTGAGAGCATTTTCTGGACTAGTCACTAGTCAGTGAGTACAATCAGTTTTAAAATATCAGTTTTTAAATCAGTTGTCCTAATGTTGTCTTCCTCATGCATCTTATCCCTCAAATCAAGTTTATCAAGCACTATAGTAAAGTTGTTTTAGATATCTGTTTAAGAACCTCACAAAGACACCCCTACCCCTGTCAAATGTTCATGGTCCAGGGCAACATTGTAAAGTGCTTTTGGAAAATAATATCAGAAGCAAATGCACTTTGATGTGCTTTATTGGAGCAGTTGTGAGGGGAAAGTAGCTGAGGAGTTTGAACTTGACTTATTGGTTTGGGGGTCATCACTGAAGAAGTTTAAGGGAAGAGTCAGATTTACCACAACACTAGGAGTGAATGGGAGGGAGAGAAGGAATGAGAAAATGCTTACCCCCACGGTGACATTCACAATGGACAGCAGGGATGGGAAAGGAAGAAGAGAGTCAAGAGATTTCTGCTCAAGTTTTGACTTAAGACAAAAGCTTGAGGCAAAGAAGCAGTTCACCATGGATGAACTGAAGAGAAGTGTGTTCTGATAGAGGCATTGAATGCCCAAATGTGTTGGAATAGAGAAGGAGGTAGTGTGGAGGGCTTGACCAGGGAGCTGTTAAAAGTCAGACTGAGGAGTTAGCTTGTAGACCTCAGCTGGCATAAGCAAGTTAACCTTCCTAAGATGCTTTGAGTAGAGGATCTTGGAAGAGAGGAAAGCCCTTCGCACAAGGTCCCCCTGGAAGAGAGTACAGGCAAGTGGAAAGGACATCAGGTCCTGAGTGGGGTCCCGTATGGTGAGTGGACTGTCCTGAGTGCTGGAGTTCCTGTCTGACAACCTCCCCACGTGCATTCTCTGCCTACCATCTTTCCCAGGTCTGTCCTAAAGAAGTATGAGCTGGCAGGATGGGAAAAGCTCCTCTGGGAGCTCATTTAGGCCTCAGACCTCAGTGAAAAGGGCTACTTGAGGACACAGGGCAATGGGCTGCACCACTCATCTGCTCTGGGACAGGGGAGTGAGAGAAAAAAAGAGCTCCCGTGTCTTTTCCAGAAGATTCCTGCCAACACTAGAGAGCTCAGGAATCCCCTAGCCAAATTCCCACATTCACCACTTCTTCCTCTCTCTCTGATTGCGCTCTCCCAGCACTCTTCTTTGGTTACCAGTAAATAAATCCTGCCAGTTTCTCCAGAACCTTTTCTCCAAGAGCAGATAGACCCTTCCTTCCCAGGAGGGTCTTTGCTCTGTGAAGCAGGTGCATTGGTCCTCAGGCTGGTCCATTTCCACATTCTGATTAGTCACCTGGGACTACTCCTGGAGGTTCTATCCTAGCCCACCTCACACCCCACCTAAGGAATTCCTTGCCGGTCTCAGCCTTCATCTCCTCCCTTCAACAAGACTCACCCTCCTCTGGCTTCTCCCAGAAGTCAGCTGCAAGAGCACATAACACATAGCACCCAGGTCCTTATCAGCCTGGCTTTCTTCATGGCTTGCTCTTGTGGTCTGGCATGGATCCCCAACTTCTGTTGCTCCTCAACTTCTATTGCTCCTTTGGGCCCAGGGCAAGACCTGTTTCCTCACTGCCCTCAGTGCTTCCTTCCAGTTCCAGGCCTTTTTTGGATCCTCCTGATCCCCTTTCCAGAGTCTACTCTCACATGAGGTCTATCCAGCCATTTTCCCACTGCCCTAGCCACCTTTTCCTGCTTCTGACCCCTGGGCCATATCCTCCTCAGCTCTCTCCATCTTTTCTGTGGCTTGTACTTTCCCTGTGCCTTTCTGAGCATTTAAAATAGTTTGCCTTTGGTTCCCACTGTACAAAGTGTATGTTTTACCTTCCCTATTAACCCCTGTGCTGCTTGGGGACCGAGACTGGGCTTTTCTTAGTTTTCTCTACTGTCTCTTCCCTCTTGGGGCCTTGCTGAGGGCCCTTTGTATGGAAGGTGCACACCTGCAACTCATGTCATCTCACTGCAGGGATCTCTCCTGCAGCCTCCTTGCCCCTGTCTTTGCTCAGAGGACCTCAACACGTGCACCTTGCATGCCATCAGGCCTGACTGGCACATCTGTCCCCCAGACTGGGAAGATGGGGTGTTAAGCTGATTAATACATGCAGTGTTTGGAGGCAGCCTTGCTTGAGGTTGTTCCTTTCTTACTGTTAGTGTCACTCATTCTTTTTTTTTTTTTTTTTTTTTTTTGTGGTGCTTGGGATTGACCCCAGGGCCTTATGCATTGCAAGGCAAGCGCTCTACCAACTGAGCTATATCCCCAACCCTGTGTCACTCATTCTTTGAGCATCAGTAAAACCCTAAATCCTGCAGCAGACATGGGACAGTTCTTTTATCCCAAGTCACAGCTTTGTCTTAGTGTTGTTTAACTGGGTTGGCTGTTACTCTCTTCCAAGCCTTAAGTTAATAATCCCCAGATGGAAACATGCTACCAACCCTTCTGTTAGCTTTTCATCTTTAACACATCACAGTGATTTTTACAAAAATTGGGTATTTGTTGTTTAATACGCCAGGGGTGCACCTGTTCTGTTACTATGTTATAGAAAATGTGTTATGAAGAACAAACACTCGTTCACAACCTTATACCAAGTAAACACATGAACGTTTTGGTCTACTTAGTGTCACAAAGAATAGTATGGCTGTGTATGTGCTCCTTGACTTACTTGGCATCATATCCAGCTAACCCTGTCGTAAGTTGAAAGTATTATTAAGTCAAAAATTCATTTAATCTCACCTCACCTTCCAGACATCACTGCTTAGCCTAGCCTACCTCAAACAGGCCCACAATGCTTACATTAGACTGCAATGGCTTAAACCATCTGTACAAAGCCTATTTTATAATGAGTATTGAGTTTCTTATGTAATTTATTGAATATTGTACAAAAATTGAAAACCAGAATATACCATTAAGACATGTTAAAGTACAGTTTTTGCTGACCTGTATCACTCCCACACCAGCATAAATTTTTAAAATTGTTGTCAGAGAGCATTTTATAGTGCTTCTTATCATAAGGTAAGACCATATATGTAAGCAGTCAGTAACTGCATTCATTGTATATACAGGCATGTATATACAGGATGGCAAACCTATACGTGCACAACCATATATAGGTTCATGTGTGCCCATGGAAAGCATGTTGGGGACTTTATTCTTCTGAATATCATGTCTTAATTTTTTTATGCCTATTTAAAAGTCCACAGGCACATGGGAGTAATTAAAAGACTTCAATACTTTTTTCTAAAAAAAACAGTGCTAGTATTGAACCCAGGGGTACACTTTACACTGAGTTATACTCCTGGCCCTTTTTATTTTTAAATTTGAGACAGGGTCTGGCTTAGTTGCCCAGGCTGGCCTTGAACTTACTTGTGACCCACCTGCCTCAGGTTTCTGAGTTGCTGGGATTATAGACATGTATGACCATGCCCAGCTTTAATACTTTCTTAGAGATTGAGGCTGTAGTGGTTTGTGCTCTCCATACACAGAGACAGGAACTCACAGAGGAAGGAGTCAGAGTGCTGCTTTGCCCAGCATGTATCCAAAGCCCTCAGTTCTTACAAGTTAGCCCCTTGCTCTTGGTCATTTGATGTGAACAATGTGCCATTTCATCCCTTTAGATAGTAACCTCTGGTCTGATACTTCTCTTTTCGCCCCCTCCTGATCTCCTGCTTTCTGGGAAGAGAGAATCACAGTGAGATTGAACGGCGCAGGCGGAACAAGATGACCCAGTACATCACAGAGCTCTCTGACATGGTGCCCACCTGCAGTGCGCTGGCCCGGAAGCCAGACAAGCTCACCATCCTCCGCATGGCTGTCTCACACATGAAGTCCATGCGGGGCACAGGGAACAAGTCTACAGATGGCGCATACAAGCCTTCCTTCCTCACCGAGCAGGTACCCACCATTACTCATCTGTGGTCCATTCTTTTTGGCAGCATCATTCTGAAAGCTGGGAGAGTGACAGTGTCATCACACTGAAATAAGCTATGTGGGGAGATGGGATTTGAGGTTGAGGAAGGGATGAAGCCAAGAAATTTTGCTTCTACTTCTCATCAAGAAACTCTCTTCAAGAATATCAGGTTCCTGTATCTTCTGCTTTTATAGTCCCCATATACCTTAATGAGGTATCCCTCAAAAAAGATGCCATGCACTGGGACAGTGAGATTTTGGTGACACAGGAAGAAGTCAGTTAAAGACACAATCCCGATTACCAGGACAGGTGAGGATAATCATCTTTTGAGAACCATGGTAGCACTGATGATGGAAATAAGTGTCTTTGCTACTAGCACAAGCAGGCATTTGCTCAGGGACTAGTCTGAGTCATATCTTTCTATACATTGTTTAATTTACTCCTTATTCCAGTTCAGTGGATAAACCACTATGATTCATACCTGTTTTATAGGTGAGGAAATCAGGCTTAGAAAGCATCAGTAAATTGCCCAAGGTCAATCAGCTGCTTAGTGAAGGAGCCAGGAGTTGGTCTAATGGAGACAGGTTTCAAGGACCCAAAAGCCATACTTTTTTTTTTTTTTTTCAGTATTGGGATTGAACCGAGAGGTACTCTACCACTGAGCTACATCTCAGCCCTTTTTCTGTTTTACTTTGAGACAGGGCCTCACTAAGTTGCTGAGGCTGGCATAGAACTTGTGATCCTCTTGCCACCCAAGTCACTGGGATTACAGGTGTACACCACCATGCCCAACCCCAAAACATATTTTTTAACTCCAGCCAAGTCTTTGAATAGTTGGGAAGAAGAAACACATGTGACAGTATCTAGTAGTAGATTTACGTGAATCAGAGGGCCTATGTTCAGGGTCCTGGTCTTTACATGTGCCTGTCACAGGACAAATCAGCAAATGTTGTGTGTTTCAGTTTGCTCATCTGTAATAAAGGTAAAGCTTTTTGACTTTCTGACTCTAGGAGCTTTTGCAGCATAAATGAGGCAGTGCATTTGAAAGCAATTTGCATATGGCAAAAGGGAGAAAGGGAAAAATTATGTGGTTGACAGGGAGTGTAGTTAGGAAGTACAAAAGGATGTGCAGTGTAGCATCCTGAGTGTTCAACAAGACCAGAGCATGTGGGCAAAAAGAGAGACAGAGTAGATATGGCAGGGTTTCATCAGGGTGCATCTCAGGACAGAGACAGCATCGACAAGCCATTGCAGGAACCACATAATGTATATAGAAAGAGGAGAACAGAGGGACTTTTTAATGTATGCATAGAGTCTCAGAGGAATGATGGCGAATTGTTTGTACTTCTAGAGTTGAGAATCTTCATATCATGGAAATAAGTTTAGAAAAAGAACAAGGAAAAAGAACCAACATTTTTTTTTTACTGTCTGTTCTGTTATATACATTTTAGCAAGTGCTAAACAATGTTTCTGAAACCCTCCTAGGGTCATGTGATCTGTCACTCTGGAGATGTTGGGAAAGTATGCTACTCATATGAGGACACGGAACAGGGCTGTTCAGGACATGGGCTTCAAGCCTTGTTTCTACCTCCATAAAAAATGAATGCAATGATTATCCCATATCCCGCAGATGAGGTGGCCAAAGCAATAAATGTACACTGCTTGGAAGATAATTAAGGATGAATGGCTATTAGGTAACCAGACCAATTTATTAAGCACATTTCTTTATTCCTTACAAAAATCCTGCAGGACCAAGATTTGAAATAAACCCCTTTATCTCTAAATACTGAAAGTGAAGAGATGAAGATAGAGGAGAGAAAATGCAGGCTATACAATCATATGGATCCTACCAATGTTTCTCTCTGGGTTATGTGGAAGATAATGACACATATACTTATGGAATATCTACTGTGTTCCTGACCCTTACTAAGTTCTTCATACACAACTTAATTAATCTCCCCAAATCTCATTGAAAATGGAGCTGCATGAAATACTGAAAATGAGGGCATTGAAAGTATCCTGCCTAGAATTGCTCAGTTAAGTGAAACAGCCATGGAGAACAATCTCCTTTTACTCTAAAATCCCTGCTCTTAACCCCTGCCATCTGTTCAAGTGGAAGAGAGGGGCAGGTTGGGTTCTGGGTCTCCAACACAGAACTTAGGTTATGAGCAATGAGCTCCCAGGAAATGAACCATGGGGATGAGGTGATAGGAAGAGAGGTACATGATGAGGGTATGGCTATGTCCCATACAACCTTCACCCAATCTTTGCGAATGGATGAAAACATGAATGCATAAAAAAAGCCATTCAGCCTTCTCCAGTGGCAGAGTTCTCCACTTCCTCAGATATCCTGCTCCATTATTTTTTAAAACAACTCTTCCTGCTGGAAAAATCTTCCTGATACTGAAAATAAAAATGCTGATCCAGTCCTCTGAACTGAGTAAGCATCTGAGAGACCTAGAACCACAGAAGTGCAGAGTATGGGAAATGGGCAAAATAAACTTTTCCTTAAAAAACAGTACTTCCTTCCTGGGTTCCCAGGCTGAGGATATTTGAATTTCTCTCCAGACAAGTGCTCAGGGAGATTCTCAAAGATCCTCAGGTCCTGTTCCCACAGATCAGAATCTAGGCTTTAGGTCCCTGGAACTCCCTCAGGGATTGGGACATAGAGTAGGACCAGAGTCTCCACATCAATGAATGGGCTGCAGAAGCCTTTACCTCTGCTCAGGGGGCCCTTGCCACAATTTTATAGTAAGGCTTCTATATATGATTATACTTGAACAAAGGATTCATAGCAAAAGATGCTTGCTAATTGCTAAAATACAAAGATGCCTTTGTTCTTCGGGGTCTGATCAGTTTGTGAGGTGTTTGGCAGGTGGTTGTGGACTCTACTGCATTGGAAGGGTTAAATTCTCAACTCTTGCAGGTATAGAACCCCTTTCATTCACTAGGAAAGGACTCCTTAGCTTGATGTGACAACAGTGTAGGGAGTTATACTTGAGCTGCTTTTAGGCCCTACAAAGAAAAAAACATCTCATATTAGCAAGGTTGATGTTGCCCCATCTGTGTCCCTCTGGGGATGATGGCAAAGCTTCCTGCTGCTCATTCATTGATTCTGAACCACTTTGTTCCTGCTTTCAATGACAGTCATGACTTTACCTGCCTATGTGATCCCAGAGCTGATTCTTCTAACCTCTTCTCACTATAAAGTGATATGTATAGTGCTATATGCCTTGCTGCCTCCTGGGCTACTCTGAGAGTCTGTCAAGAGTCTGATGATGATTGTCAGCATTCTGGAAGCATGACAGACATGAGAAAGTAAGGGGATATTTACATCCAGTGCCAGTGTTCAGCTCAGAAATGTGGAAAGAGAAGAGAAGCAAGAGTGCACTGTCAGCATGGCAGGCACTGGCAGGAGATGCAAGCTCTCTTTCCTGCTCTCCTTACCCTCCTGTTTTCCTTTCCTCCCTTCTCTTCAGCACCTTTTGTGCCAGGCACTATGTTCTGGGTGCTTCTGGCTGCAATAACATGATAGTGGTTACAGCATGTGGGTGGAGCTGCTCACTCTTCTGGCAACTCAACACCTGCTGATCACTGCCTGCTCTCCCATTCTCCTAAACTGAAAATGTCCTCCTTCCTAAAAGGACTGGTAAAGAGAGAGCCAACAGTATTTAGAGTGGCTGTGTCTTAGGGACAGTACTAATTTTATGCATTTTTCTAGCTTATATTCCAGTAAAACTTGGAGTAATTTTCCAAACTATTTGTGCACCAGAATGAGTATACAAATAAAAGAAGTTAAGGGTTGCATTTAATTGGTCTAGAACTGTCAGTACCTTATGTTAATGAATCTTTTTCTTTGTAGGAACTGAAGCATCTCATCTTGGAAGCAGCTGATGGGTTCCTGTTTGTAGTAGCAGCTGAAACAGGGCGAGTGATTTACGTGTCTGACTCTGTCACCCCTGTTCTCAACCAGCCCCAGTCAGAGTGGTTTGGAAGTACCCTCTACGAACAGGTGCATCCCGATGATGTGGAGAAGCTGAGAGAGCAGCTGTGCACCTCAGAAAATTCCATGACAGGTCAGTAGGTTCCTTCTACAAGTCTATTTGGCCCTAGAAAAAAATTTTTCCAGTAGACACACTAAGAAGTTGGGTATTACAAAAAGCTTCTTTGAGCTGAGGGGATGCATTTTACTTAGTGTGTGTAATGGCTTCTTTTACCCTGTAACATTATAATAAAATGCATTTTAATACATTACTTTCCCTATATTTTACATGTAATAAGTGCACATCGTCATTGGGAGTCGCCATTGATAACATAATTAGACCCATATGAAGTTTGTGCAGCAACTGAGGGGTTATTTGTGATCCTGATTATAGACAATTACTACCCAGGCCTTAGTTACCTGAAATATAGTTTTTTATTAAAATATAGTCTGTTCCACTATAATCTAACACATGCAGTCTTTCTAAGAAATCACTGCAATATTCAGAAGAGTGCAATAAAAACTTAAGGGCTCATGGGAAGAAAGAGGGTTAGAAATATAACACTCAATAATTTGACAATGGCAGATAAAAGCAAAGATAGGGACCTATAAAAAATGCTAGCACAGCTTTACATGCTAAATAGTTAAGAAATTTATGAAGATTACTAAATATGGCACTAAACCTTGAAAGTGACCTAAAATTTGCTTGTGGAAGTGGGTCTTAGAAGGTGTTGCCACTTGTGTGTTATCTTGAAGGACAGTTGTATGAAACCAGAGGGAGATTTTTAACATCAAATTAAGACGAGTGTAGCTTATATCAGGATGTGAGCTGAGCTGGCAGAGGTCTGTGTTATGTGTATTTTGTGTGGTTTTGTTCAGTTGGGCAATTTTTTGTGTTCATCTGGTATCTTTCACAGCAAACACAAAATTAATACCATGCTCAGATACATTACTCCCTACTGTATTAGTCAAATTGGAACAAATTTAAATTTTTATAACAAGAATTGTAATACATTATACCAAGATTGCATTCTGCTGTATGACAAATCTGTTTGTGCTGTTTCATTCTCCCTTATGTTGCAAGGTACTAAAGTTCACTTTTGTCTGTCCACAGTGCCTAATCAGGGCTTTGCACGTAGTAGGCATTTGGCAGATGCTTGATGGGCAAATGAGTCAGTGTTTTGATCATTGTCGTCAGCTCGGGCCACCTAACAAATACCACAGACTGTGACTTAACAGAAATTTATTTCTCACAGTTCTAGAGATTAGGAAGTCCAAGATCAAGTCCAGGATCAAGCAACTTGGACCAACTTTTGATTCTTATATGGTACTTTTCTATCTTTATCAATATAAGGTTGAAAGGGCTAATCACCTAATCTCCTCCTAAAAGCCCACGTCCTAATACCATTAGCTTGGAGTTGGGATTTCAAAACGTGAATTTGGAAGCAACAATTCAGCTCATTGCAGCCAGGATTATGGTGTCACCAGGGTTGATTTATCCTAAGGCCTTTCTCCTTGGTTTGCAGATTATTGCCTTTTCTTTGAGTCCTCACTCAGTTTTTCCCCATGCATGCATCCCCACTGTCCCTCCTTTTTGTAAGGACACAGTCATACTGGATTAAGGCCTACTACATGACCTCATTTTGCTTTAATTACTTTTTTAAAGGTCCTGTCTCCAAATGCGGCCACATTCTAAGTTTCTGGGTGGCTAGGGCCTCAAAATATGATTTTTAAAATATTTTTATTTTTTTTTAGTTTCAGGTGGACACAGTATCTTTATTTTATTTTTATATGGTGCTGAGAATTGAACCCAGTGCCTCATGCATGCTAGGTGAGCACACTACCACTTGAGCCACATCCCCAGCCCCTCAAAATATGATTTTTAATGGTGGCAGGGAGGCACAGTTCCATCCAAATCACAGGATAAGCCTGAATCAGATGTTGCCAGAAGTAGCAAGAGTACAGGTTTTGCTGGATGATAATAGTAATTTTCTCAATGTTGATGTTCACTGCTGTAGATAGGAGAGAGAGGATAGAGAGTGGGCACTGGGTGTAGTTTTATCTATTGCTGTGTCTCTTTATAATGTGACACATCACCTGCAGGAAACTTCATCCACATCCTTGTAAAACAATGATGCTAACATAGTCTCAGAAAGATTTTCTGCTGCCCCATTCCCCTGGCTGAATTAGAGAACTCCATATAGAAATCCTAAGAAACATACATTATAAAGTGACATATATGGGAAGACTGTAAAAGGAAAAGCGAATCCACCAGGAAATATTGATTTGACAGCTAAAATCACCTCCTCTGGAAAGAGCTGTCTCTCCTTAGACTTCTGTATTTGACCACAGGATGTGGCTTTTTGAAACCCAACCCTGAGACTCTGCTGGGGCAGATGGCATGAGAAATGGTGGTTAAGGGCAGGAAAGGCTCCGGTGAAAAGTGTGGCTAACTGATTCACCAGGATCTGATGGACATTGCTATTTTTGTGTGAAGTCAAAATGCATCTGTCAGAGTTTAAAGAGGCAGTGTGAACCATATTTGGCCAGAGATGTTCTTGGAGGGGATGCTTGGCAGTGGCCATGGTACCTGGGGCTGATGTACACAAGAAGTCCTCCAGGATGTCAGAGGAGTCCCTGTGAATGGTGAACAGCCAGGCCTCTTGAGCTCTTCTTCTGGTCAGGATCCTCTTGAGAGGAATAAGATGTGGCTGGAGAAGTGGGTTCTTAGGCTCAGAGCAGAGAAGGTCAGTGTCTCTCAGAGCTTCAGAGTATACATATGAGTCCCAGGACAGAGTCTGAAAACTTGTTGAGAGATCCTGGAAGAGTTCCTGCAGCAGGCCATGTCTCAGGGTTCACTGGTGTTCAAGACAAAGCAGGGGCTAGCCTTTGTGCATCACTGACCAACATGTAGGTGTGATACAGACTTAATAAAGAAGCCACAGGGGTGATATGACCCCTTTGATTCTTGGAGTAGTGTTTCTCAAACTCTCCTGTTCCTGATATTTAGGCCAGAAAGAGGTGACATGGTTCACTTTGAGGGACTCAGGCTGAGGGGGTGTTGGGGAAGGGAGCCAGATGGGATAAAGGGGTGGCTTAACATGAGTAGTCTAACCTTCTCTCCTCTGAGCCCCTTGGTCAGTAGGAAGTTCATGTTTCATTTGATGGATGTGCAGGGCCACTTGCTCTGAACATGGGACAGGGTTGTGTATACACAGTGGGACAGGGAAAGGGACAAGATGTTGGACTACAGTAGGGCTTGCAGCCTCCTGCTAGCTCAGGGCCCGAGCAAATTGATGCCTGCCCTGAGTACTGTATCTGGGGTGGGGGTGGTATATTTCTTTGTTGAATTAAGTCTTTCCTCAGCTGAAAGATGGTGACAAATGGTGAGTGGGAAGATATATAAATGTATAAAAAGATACATAGATCCTTTGGAAGCATCATGAAGTGATATGGGTCATTGCAAAGATTTGATTCACTGTGGATAAACACTGGACTCAATGTTGGGAGAGAGTGGGGGGACTCCTCACATAAAAACAGCAGCATTGCTAGTTGAGAAAGTTCTGGAAAGAGAGTCAGGAGCCCTACTCTTTGTTTTTGCCTTCATCTTGGTAAGTCCCTTTCTTCTCTGACCCTCATTCTTATCATTTTCCAGGAAATTCCTAACTAAGGCTCATGCCAGCTCTGATTCTATTCTTTTGCCTAAGGTTTTTTTTTTTTTTTTTTATCTTATTTTTTATTGGTTGTTCAAAACATTACAAAGCTCTTGACATATCATATTTCATACATTAGATTCAAGTGGGTTATGAACTCCTAAGGTTCTAGGGTAGAATTTAATTCACTGATTAAGAAATGGTGGAAAGTTGGAGGAAAGGGACTTAAAGCTGTAACAACAATTAAACAGAAGCAACTGCTGAGGCTTAGGCCAGGGGCTGCCACGTTTCTAGGACACCTCCTTTGAAGAGCTTATTTGAAGTGGAATATTTCTGGATGAAACCAGGCAAACCCTTTATGAACTGCCTGGGGAGGATTGGACTTCCCCTGTGTAGGAGTGGCCCAGGATTCTAGAGGACCCAGAGAGCCAGCTTGTCTTTTTCCAAGAGAATTTTGTGGTCATGGAGAAGAATGACTATACAGCCAGACTAGGTTTAAATGACAGAAACACCCCCAACCAGCTTGGGTGGAAAAGAAATTAACTGACTCATGTAACTGAAAATGGATTCTGGTTTTAGGTGTAGAAACATCCAGGTGATCAAATCACACTAAAAAAAATAATAGTTATTTATTATTTATGGATTCCATGTTTGCAACTTTATCTGCTAGCCAAACTTATTTGCATCCCCAAAATTAATATTCCCAGGGCTTTTGTGGGCATATGCACAGTGGAAGAAATTTGGGGCTGCCTGATGGCATATTCCCAGCTGAGGTCAAGCAAGGTGATGTTTGTTGTGCTTTTTTGTTTTAGCTTTTCTGTTATCAACTATGCTCTTTTTGTGTTCTATTTGATGCCATTTTTTTATTTTGCTTGTTTGTGCTTTTTGTGGGTGATTTAGCTGTTTAAAATTGCCCAAGTGTTATGCTGAAGTGCTAATATTCCCAACTGCAGGAAGTCTGTAATCTGCCTCATGGAGGAAATAGTATGCATTACATAAATTTCATTCAGACATAAATGATAGCCTGTGAGTGCAATGTTAGAGAATCAACAATATACGTTAAGTAAGGTGTCTCTAAACGGAAACATGCATAAAACAGATTACGTATTAACTGGCTGACAAGTGTGGTGAGAGTGTTTCATAGGAAGCAAACTTTGTATACCTCCTAGGAGCCATGGTTCAGTGTTTACTAATTCAGTGTTTACTTTACAAAATATAGCTATCTTGAATAGTGTGAATCGACTATGTGCCTTTTTCACTATATCTAATTTTGCTTTCTTCTGTGCAGGGTAGATTGTCAAGCAGGCTTTTTTCATACAACAAGATGTTGTTTTGCAGTCCTAGGCTTGAGGTCGGTGCCACAGAGGCACAGTGATTCCTGCAGAGTTTCTGCAAGTATCTTAGGGTTGCCTCTGTTGGCTCAGTTTGGACCCTCTGTTCT